TGATGTCAGATGTTTCTGACCGAAGCTGGGGCCTCGTCGTCTCTCAAGTCCGGGAACAGATTGAGCAAAAGCATGAACTGCTTGCAAGCGATAGTGGCAATTTTTACTCTACCGAGTCAAGGTGGAGCACTATTGAAAAAGAGACGTACCTGATTATTTGGGCCTCACGCCACCTTACGTACCTGCTTCTTCGTGCAAACCGGTTCCGTATGTATTATGACCACAAGAATTTCATCTGAGTTTTTGCTCCCTGGCAAGAGGTCAAACAACATGTGCGTGGAAAGCTACAACGTTGGGTTCTATCACTGGCTTGATTGCCTTATCAAATTGAACACATCGATGGCTCACTGAACCTGTGGTCTGGCTTACTATCTCGATGAGGACTACCTTCGAGTGGGGGTGGTGTTACCAAATGCAAGGTGGTCACCACTTGCAGCCAACAAAGACGGATTTCAGCAGCGTACGAAGCCTGCAGCGTCTACACTTGCTTGCCGAAGGGTTAATCTTTCCAACACTCACGTCTCGACGTAAATGCTGAGCTGCTAGCTCACGTGGGCAATCAAGATATGGTTCTTGGAGTGGAAGACACCATGAAACGTCGAAAGGAACCTGGTGTGTGGCAGCTGCTAGTAGCCTAGCAAGGTCTACAGAAAGCAGAAACTTCCTAGGAATTGTTGAGTTTGCTGCAAAAGGGTTGTCCGTCGCAAGTGGAGCAATATGTGGCTTCCAGCAGCGATGCAGCACTTTGTCATGTATATTCAGCGTTGACGCAAGCCCATACGAGCTAACACGGTATTCTTGTAGCCGATTGCATAAATAAAAAACATGGTATCTTCAATGATTTGTTACAAGATATGGCTCAAAACGAGTACCGCGGTATTATAAGAAGGCGAAAATGCGTCCTTTGAGAAGCAAAATGACCTAGTTTTGTATAGTATACTTTAGGCTAGAGGATCACGAAGGGTTAAACCAAAAAATATGTGTGGCGGTGATACGGGGGAGGGGGGGGGGTACTACTTTCAAAACCGATTACATGCTGTAGCTATCGAAGTCAGTACTTCTAGCGGTAAGCTACCGCAATTCCATCCATATAGAAACGTCGCAGGAGTCACACACATGCTGCACTTATCCAAAGGCGGCTGCCTTATGTCTGACGTTGCAAATTGAAAACTAAGTGAATTGAAATATGTTACCTGACGTATATCGAACTGAAAATTCTGAACAGTCTATTAAATCTTATGACGTATTCCTGAAACACCTTTTACTCGTCCCGTAGGATTCGTTGTATGGATTGTAGACGACCCACTAGAATAGCGGTTACATCGAGCCTTTTTGAACCCATTACGATGATCGAGATACGACATTCGTTTTCGCAAGGAAGCGATATGGCACCAAATGACTAATATCGACAGTGTCAGTGTATTTCGTTCAAATGTTCATGTCTTGCCATTTACAAAACCTTTAGGATCCTGTACGGGCATTTTTCAATCGACTGGCTCAATTATGACATGTTCAATTTATTCACTTTGTGTACCAGTTGGTGCGGCAGGATCGGCCCCTTGCTCGCTACTAGAGTGCCAAAATGGTGAAGCTAGAGTGTATTAGCGAGACGCGGAAATGGAGCGAAGCAAAGGGCAATCTACACTCTACGTCGGATTTTACTTCCAGACCATAACCGAGTACTCCTGCTTGCTGGATCTGGTGGTCTAGACCACTAATCGGTTCGTTACGTAGCCTATTGGGTGTGCTCTCCTATCCTTAATTTCCTTTTCTACGTGATTTCCGCTTCCTTCAGCGGGGTCTTGATAGCTGGGAATCGAAATGTATACCCAGGCAAACAGAAAACGGTTAATATTCTAGGTATGCAATTGTGAGGGAAGTTCACTAGGTATGACATGTGGTGGAAGACGTAGAAACTGTTGAGGGTTACCGACTTTGGACGGCGTGTAGCCATTAACTGGTTAACCCGAACCGGTCCAACAGGGTCCCGCGATGGTTACGGTACATTGAT